TGGGTTGGTCGAGCAAGGCACACGACGTACAGGTGTGCCTGAACTCCTCTGTGTGCCAGAGGCTTCAGGCCGGGACCTTCTTCCCTGGCCGCCACATCAGGGTCAGGGACGTGGACATGCCCGTGTGCCTTGTGGGGGATGCCCTGGCTGATGAAGCTGTACACGGGGCACCTCAACCCCTCCCGCCAGGTCTTTAATGCCAGGCTGACCAGGGTCCGCATCGTGATCGAGGGGGTCTTCGGCCGACTGAAAGCAAGATTTAGGTCCCTCTCACCCGCCTTGACCTCGCCGAGTACAATATCCCTCCCGTGGTGGCAGCATGTTGAGTGCTGCACAATTTGTGTGAGCGAAAGGGGGGGGCTTTCCTGCCACCCTGGATGGCTGAGGCTGAGTGCATGGCTGGCCACTATGCTCAGCCCCGCACTGCCACCATCCGGGAAGCCCAGCAGGGGGCCGTCCGGATCCGGGAAGCCCTGCGGGAGAGCTTCCAGGTGGAGGAGGAAGACTGAACTCTCCCTGCATGCCCCACTGGGGCCTTCTTCCACCCTCCCCCCCTTCCCATTTCCCCTCCCTAACCCCCCTTCCTAATGTCAAATAAAGACACTTGTTTTGACAACAAAATCTCTTTTTATTTTACCTAACTGGGGTGGGGGGAGGAGGGAGGGGAAACCTGGGAGGAGGGAGGTGGAAGGGAAGAGAAAGGCTTGGGGGGTCCTGCTGGCTCTCCCGTCTCGCAGCACTGTGGGTGTGGGGGTGTCGGGGGGGAGTGGGTGTGGAGAGTGGGGCAGGAGGGACGGGGTGCGGAGGAGGAACAGGGGTGGGAGGAAGAGCGAGAGCTGGGACAGCCGCAGGGGCCGGTGCAGGAGGAGGCAGGAACCTGTCGACCAAGGTCTGGAGGTGGCCTCTGAGGGCACGGCCCTGCTCCTCCAGCGTCCCCAAACTCCGCAGCCGCAGGTTCTCCCGGATCCAGTGGTCCTGGGTGCGGAGCTGGTGCTCCAGGAGCTGTAAGTGCCACCGCTGGTGGTACACCTGGTTCCTGGTGCACCTGCTTGCCTGGGTGCGGGTGGCTGTTGCAGGCGAGGTGGTGTGCCCTGCAGTCCCAGGTGCTGCGGCTGTGGTGAAATGAGCAGTTGTCAATTCTCCCTGGGGACAAGGTGGGTGACACCCAGCCCACCTCTGCAATGCCAGGGCCCCTGCATGACACCCAGCTGCTGCTCCATGTTGGGCAAGGCCCAGGCGCACGGTCCCTGGGCTCCCTCTCTCCCCACCCTCCTGTACAAATAAGGGGAGCATGATGATACTCACATGCGGAGCCCTCCTCGGCCTGGGACAACACAACCGATGTGCCCTGTGGGATGCCTCGGGGGTCCTGTGCAGGCTTCCTGCAGGCTCCTCGCTCTCGGCGTCCTCCTCCTTGGTGTCCCTCTGCCCTGGGGTCGATCACCACCCAGGGGGGCATGGACAGCGTGAGCCCCCAGGATGCAGTCCAGGTCCTCAAAGTGGGGACAGGTCTCCAGGTCGGCCCCTGGCTGGCAGCCCCTGGAGCAGGACTGCCGCAGGTCCTTTATTTTGCGGCGGACCTGCTCCCGGGTTCGCATGTGGCCTCTGGCGGCCAGGTTGGCAGCTGTGCGGCTGCAGACGGCCGCGTTCCTGTGGCTAGTGTGGAGATCGTGGACGTTGGAGGCCTCCCCTGAAACCTCGATGAGGTCCATGATCTCTGCACTTGACCAGGTGGGCGCCCGCCTCTTGTGGCCCCGGGCAGGCTCCTGGGAACTGCCAGCCTGCTCCTGGGAAGAGGCGGAGGGCTGGGTGGCAGCGTGTGGCTGGCTTATCCCGTGCCAGGTGCAGGGTCTGCTGGTTGGGCGCTGGCAGGCTTGCAACTGGCACAAGCACCGTAGCCAGACCGTGTCCTTTTAAGGGCTCCGGGGCCAGGAGAGGGGCAGAAGAGTTTTCCTGGTTTGGCCCAGAGTGGCCACCAGGGCAAGCTGGGAAGGGCTAGCCTCCCACTAGTTCGAATTAAGTGGCTACACAGCCCTTAATTCGAACTACTTAATTCGAACTAGGCGTTAGTCTTCGTAGAATGAGGTTTACCTAGTTTGAATTAAGTGCTCCGCTAGTTCGAATTAAGTTCGAACTAGAGGTTTGCATGTGTAGCGCCTATTAAAGTTAATTTGAACGAACGGCTGTTAGTTCAAATTAACTTAGTAGTGTAGACATACCCTTACTTACTTTACATTGGAACAAATAAGCATGTGATGCTTGCAGAATTCAGGGCTTTTGGCTCATTATTCAGGGTAGCTAACTGAGGCAGATACTTCCCTCAGAATTTATGTTCTCATCTAATTTTTGCCCTGAATTACTGATATGTATTACACCTCTAATGCCAGTTTAACATAGGCTTTTCTGGGACTTTATGCATATTTTGACATTAGCATCTTATAAATTGTTGTCCAAGTCAGATATTTTGCTTTAAATCAAATCCTGCGCAAACTAAAGTGAGTGTTAGATATAAAAACAGTAGAAAAAGTAGCATCTCCTTTAAAAGTTTTTTAAATACCACCTTGATATATGCGAACTTCAGGAATGCAGGCAAGCTAGTGTGGGAGTACTTTCATAAACTCAAGGAAATAAAAGCTAAAGTTGTTCAGATATAAAGGGAAAAATAATTTGCTAGCAAACAGAACTGAGATTTATTTTCTACTAAGGATCTGAAGATAACATCTTGTATATTTCCTTCAGTGTCATTTTGTTCGCTCCATTGGATATTTGGAAATGAGTGCCAGCGATCTTTTTTTGCATAAGAGGTCTTATTAGCTTGTTGAAAAATCTTGGAAACAGTATTTTGTTTGCTGTGCTAACAACATTAAAGCTGACTTAACACATTTTAACAGACTCTGACAATCAGAGTTTATAATGTGTATGGTAAACACTTATGAATAAGATTCAGTAATAGTTCTGTCTGCATTTTGGGATGTTTTTCTTTAAACAATCTTCTATGCCATAGAAGGTACATGGGGACTTCATTAAATTCTGACTGCATGAAAGCAGTCATGTCAGTGATTAGCATTTTGTTATTGTTTAGTTCCGCCACTTCCAGAGAAATGCTAGGGTGAAGCAGACTTAGGTTGTCATATTTCAAGATAACTTTTTTTTGGAGACTTTTTGTTTTGTGCCTCAGTTTCTCATTGATTGGCAGGGAGTAGACACATTCTATACAATGCATGCTAAAGAACTTCTGGTTTTCACAAATGGAAGTTCTAATAATTTCCTCTCCTCTCCCTATAAACATGGGTTAATTATCCAGCAATGGAGGCAACAGAGAAGGATGGATTGAAGTGCTTCCTTGAATTCTGTTTTCTCACTTCTATTGATGTTGCCCCAGTGACAAAATTAAGAGAAAGACGTGCATGGAATTAACCAGAAGGCTGCAATTTTAACACAGGGTAGGGATGCTACCTTCCCATCATCCATACTATCCTATACCAGGCATTTAATTGGTTCTAGTGTGGGGGGTTCAAGTCACCTTACTGTATGATCTGTAACTATCCTCAGGTTTAATGGGCTTCTTGCTGTATTATCCATTATGTAGGCAGGTTTTCCTTGGTCTGCTCCCTAGGATGTGGCTCTGAGTCCTAGCAGCCTACACCACGAGTGGAACAGAGGGTGCAACAGGGTGGGACCTCAGCCCACAAGGTCTCATTCTGCCACATCAGCCCACTCATCACCTAATTCCCAGGTCTCTTATTTCTGGAAGCAATTCATTCTGTTCTCTTACCTACAGCCAGTTTCCAGTGTGGTTAACAACAAGGCTACGTCTAGACTGCAAGCTTCTTTTGGAATAAGCTTTTCCGGTGAGGGCCATAAACTCTGTCCTGCTGCGCAGCGGCATCCACCTGGGAGACCCGGACCCCATTGTGGCTGGATTTGCTGCCCTGGGCTTCCCCAACTGCGTTGGGTGGGACATAGATGGAACCCACATCCTGATCCGGGCCCCAGAATGCCAAGCTGCCCAGAACAGCAATCACATGGGCTATTTTTCAATGGACCTGCAGGTCCTGGTCAACCACCATGGACAGTTCACAAACATTTCTGTTGGGTGGTTGGGGAAGGCACACGATGCCTACATGTTCAGAAACCCCAGCCTCTACCCTCTCACGCTGTGGCTAATGAAGCTGTACACTGGACACCTAGACCCACATAGGGACCATTTCAATGCCTGCCTGGGCAGGGCCTGAATCCAGGCTGAACATGCCTTTGGGCACTTGAAGGTGCCTCCTGACTTGCCTTGATGTGGGGGAGCACAACATCCTCCAGGTAGTCTCCGCCTGTTGTTTTCTCCATAACATCGTGGAGAGCAAGGGGGAGGCCTTCCTTCCAGGATGGGGGGCAGAAGCCAGCTGGGAGGGAAGGGCCTTCGAGCAGCTGCCTGCAGCTGCCATCTGCCTATCATGGAGGAGTGTTCATCCAGGAGGCCCTGAGGGAGAATTTCTCTGAAGGACCCCAGTAACTCTCCCCAGGGCCTGCCCACTAGGGTCCTGTGCCTTGCCCCTCTGTCTTCCCTACAACAACCCCTCCCTTCCTTGTACAGTCAATAAAAACACCAGTTTTGTGTTTCAAAAAAAATCATTGTAACTGGGGAGGAGGTGGTCTGAGAACCTGGATATGGGGAGGAAGGAGGGGGAGTGTGAACCTTGGATGGGGGAAGAGAGATTCAGAGTTGGGGCTGAGCGTGGTGTGGCTGGAAGTTCCACCTCGGGTCCTGGGACCTTGGAGACCTCGGAGATGGTTGGGGGTCCAGAGTGAACAGGAGGATAGGCTGGAGGGGGGCTGGAGCAGGGTCAGGCATGGTGGGGAGGGGGGCAGGGATAGGATCTGGGTAGGCCATCATCTCCCCGATGGTGGCACACATGTTGTAGCCCTGCTGCAGCAGCTTGGTCCACATCTATGCCTGCCATTGTGCATCGTCATTCTGGGGCAGGGTCTGCTCCTTGTTCAGGTGGATGGACACGTGCTCCCTCCATTAGGCAAGCCTGTGGCTCCCCCGGGATCGGGTGGCTAGTTCGCCTGCTGGTCATCACCCCACAGTCATGGCTGGTCTGGCTGTGGAGAATAGAGGTGGTCAGTTATTCCTGGTGACACTGTCCCTGAGGCCTTGCCCTCAGCAGAAAACTGAGAGCAACAGTCCTCAGACCAGAGGAGGGTGATGTTCCTGGAACAAGGCCATGTGTGTCCTGGCCAATGGGACCTTCCTCACAGGGGCCTAGAGGTGCCTAGGGGACCATGCTTCCTGCCCACCCCACTCCTGTTCCGTGGACAAGCAGGCAAGGGTAGTGCTGGCCACACTGCATTCCCATGATTGGGAAAGGGGCCTCGAGCTGCCTGGGCTTCCATCGGGGCTGGGCACACACCTGCGCCTGGCAACGCTGTCCCCGGGAGCGGGTAGTGCCTCAAGCGTGCAGGCATGCCTGTGTTGTGTGCGGCACTCCTCAGTCTGTGTGCAAGTGAGTGTATGCCCTTGTCCCCAGCCTCCTTCCAGTGGTGGCTGGTGGTGGGAGGGCATCCTACCTGAAGTGTGTCTGGCTTCCCCAGAGCCAGTTAGTAGGAGCCTGGAGATGCTCCGGGGCTGCCTTGTGAGACCTCATGGCGCAGACTGGTGCTGCATGTGCAGGGACTGCAGCACGAGGGCCAGGCCAAGAAGGCTAAGTGACGATTGCACCCCAGCCCTTCAGCACCCACCTGCCCTGTATGTGTGGAAAAACTAAGAGCACTCACCTACTGATCCCTCCCCGACCTTGGAAGATGCCTGTAAGACATCCGGGCCCTGGGATACTGGCTTCAATGTGAGAGTCGTCATGGTGCTAGATGTCTTTTCCTCCTCTTCCAGCTCCTCGTTATCCTCCTGGGCTGGGACCCCGGGCTGGGTGATGACATGCCTCTCCAGCCCTAAGTCCACCACCAGGGGTGGGAAAGGGGCTGCACCACCCTCCCAGGATGTGGTGCAGTTTTGCATAGTAGGGGCAGGATCTGCCCCAGAGCTAGAGCTGCACTCTCTGGCCCTGGCGTAGCCCTGCTGGAGCTCCTCACTTGCTCCCGACTGTGGTGGTAGCTCCTTGTGGCCAGGCTGTCGGCCATCCGGACACATATGTCTGTATTACTTTGTCTGGAGTGGAGCTCCTGGAGGGTCATCATGCCGTGGCTGATGAAGCTGTACACCGGCCACCTGGTCCCTGGCTAGGTCCTGGGAGTCCTGGGCATGCTCTCTGTGAGGGCCAGTGAGCTCCTGGGGTGCCTGAGACTGGGCCATGGCTCAGGAGCAGTGTGACAGTGTAAGCTGCACAATGAGTTGCAGCTCCCAGAGCGAGCTAGCTTCCTGTCTCGGTGTTTGGGGCTTTACGAGCTGCTGGGAGACAGGAACTATAGAGTTGTGATGAGTGTGGACAGAGTGGCCATCAGGGCATCTGTGAGATTTCCTAGAAGCCTCTTTTTTCGACAGAACTCCTTCTGCTGCATCCACACGCGCCTTTTTCTGAAAAAGTGTTATTCCTCATAGAATGAGGTTTACTACCATTGGAAAAAGTCTTCTGTTAATTTGACTTTTTGTCAAAATAACGCTATTGCAGTGTGGACACAAGTATTGTTTTTCCGGAATAACGGCTGTTGTTCTGGAAAAACAGAAGCCTCTTTTTTCGACAGAACTCCTTCTGCTGCATCCACACGCGCCTTTTTCTGAAAAAGTGTTATTCCTCATAGAATGAGGTTTACTACCATTGGAAAAAGTCTTCTGTTAATTTGACTTTTTGTCAAAATAACGCTATTGCAGTGTGGACACAAGTATTGTTTTTCCGGAATAACGGCTGTTGTTCTGGAAAAACGCAACCGTGTTGTTGTTGGCCTCCGTCGGTCAGTTGACCATGGATGACGTATCCTAGTTCTCGTCTTGGTTCGTGTCGAATTGTCTGGGACAGCGTCGGGGACAGCGTCGTTGGTGGCTGAAAAGGCCAATCCGGGACAGGCATTCTTTGCCGCAGAAGTCGCAGCTATAGGTGGTTCCCTGGCTGTTGTTGTTGCGTAACTTCCTGCGGGCTCGCTTTTCTTCTGATGCACGCATCATGTTCGTTTCGCCTGACTTGAGCTGTGTGGTCAGGGTGCCCCTCCACTTTGGGCGGTCTGCTGCGAGGTCTTCCCAGGACTGCGTGTTTATGTCGATGGCTTTCATGTCCCTCTTCACGACATCTTTAAATCGCAGGTTCGGGCGCCCTGTGGTTCTCTTCCCAGATGCCAGTTCCCCGTAGAGGATGTCCTTTGGGATCCTCCCATCCTCCATGCGGCGTACATGGCCAAGCCAACGCAGGCGACGTTGTCGGAGCATGGTGTACATGCTGGGGAGGCCGGCTCGAGTCAGAACTTCGAAGTTGGAGACTTTGTCTTGCCAGGTAATACCCAGGATGCGGCGCAGACCTCGTAGATGGAAGGCGTTCAGTCTCCGCTCTTGTCTCGCGTATGTGGTCCATGTCTCGCTCCCGTACAGCAGGGTGCTGATGACGCAGGCGTTGTACACTGCCATCTTTGTTGCGGTTGTCAGCCTGGGGTTGGTCCACACTCGGGTTGTCAGGCGGGCTAAAGTAGAGGCTGCCTTCCCGATCCTCTTGTCGAGCTCAGCGTCAAGGGAGAGATTATCGGTGATGGTGGAGCCCAAGTACGTGAACTGGTGGACGACGTCAAGCTGGTAGTCGTCTACTGTGATGGCTGGTGGAGTGACAGTGTCCTGGCTTAGGACGTTTGTTTTTTTCAAACTGATAGTCAGCCCAAAGTCTTTGCAGGCCATGGAAAAACGGCTCATCAGCGACTGTAGTTCTTCCTGGGTGTGTGTGACGACTGCTGCGTCGTCGGCAAATATCATGTCCCTGATCAGCGTCTCGCGTATCTTCGTCTTGGCTTTGAGGCGAGAGAGATTGAATAGCTTGCCGTCCGATCTGGTGCGGAGGTAGATTCCTTCCGTTGCTGAGCCGAAGGCATGCTTAAGGAGCAGGGCAAAGAAGATCCCAAACAATGTGGGGGCAAGAACGCAGCCTTGCTTGACGCCGCTGCTGATGCTGAAAGGCTCGGAGCAACTGCCGTTAAACTGCACTGTTCCCTTCATGTCTGTGTGGAAGGATTCAATCAAACTCTGCAGTTTTGGTGGGCAGCCGATCTTGTGAAGGATTTTGAAGAGTCCGTCTCTGCTGACCAGGTCAAAGGCTTTGGTGAGATCAATGAAGGAGACGTACAGGGGCATCTGCTGTTCTCTACACTTCTCCTGGAGTTGTCGTAGGGAGAAAATCATGTCTACGGTTGACCGTTCTGCGCGGAAACCACACTGTGACTCCGGGTAGACACGTTCAGCCAGCTTCTGCAGTCGGGTCAAGATGACCTTAGCAAATACTTTGCCTACGATGCTAAGAAG